TATATATATATGGTCACTCCACCTCTCCCCCATGCCCCCCTCCCCAAAAGAACACTTATGTATATACTAGTTTACAATATGATGTAACATTTTTCGTATTACTTAAGTTTCTTGCTGAATTTGAAGAATTCCATTCATTTCTTTAATGACTACCAAATGCCACCATGCTAAGCACTCCCCACTTAACCTTTACTTCGAATGTGAACAGTCTCACATTAAAATATTCATATAAACCATATGGCTTTGCCCAGTAACCAATCTAAATTTTACAGACAACACTAAATTGCCAAAACAATACAAGGACTGTGCTCTCCCCCTTCCTCCAAGATGCCTGGAATGCACAAGAAACCCACCCTGGGACTGACCACCTGTTTGCTCTTACCATCCTCTGGGATGTCCAGATCACATTTTCCATCCCACTGGAGACACTCTGACATCAGTTTCTCAGTCTCAGACTGAAGAACATTTCTAAAAAATAAAGGGAAGGTAAAGAATTGGTGGGAATAAAAGTTCAAAAATAGTCTGCCACTATCACAATGGTAGCCTTTGGTGCTTTCTTTTAACCTTTTATTTTGACAAAAAAGTACCTTTTGGAACAGGACTAATTGGATTTTTTTTTAAGCTTGCTGATCTAGTCTAAGCCAGTGTTTCCAAAACTTTGCAGTTTACCCTAGTGGGTTGTAAAGTCAGTCACTCTCATTCCACCCCCTCCCCTCAGCGAATTGTCACTTATTCCTCAACAAAGCATAACGCACAGTTTGGGAAATTATGACTTGAGCAAACACTTGGAGATAGTTGCTGTTACTCTCAAACTTGCTCCTTTTGATTTAAAGCTTTACCCTTTATGAAAGAAAGCAAAAGCAAGTGAAAGCAAAACTGAGCGAAAGCATTGTCTACTGCAAAGGAACAAACAGAATAAGAATGGAGGATTTGCTTAGTTCATTCTGAGAAAAATGTGACATACATCTACAATCCAATACATATTAACATTTAAGCTATTTGTCCATTTTAGGGACTCCTAGGAAAAGCTGCAGGAGAACGAACTAGGATTAACAAAAACCTAAAATAGGGCACATCATGCTCTGGATCTTCTGTTTTGTCCTGTTTTGTTTCCATTGCTGAGACATCTGAAAACACTGGAATAGTTTCATTTGATTTCTGAACACCTTCCTCATTTGAGAGAGAGCCTGAAAAATAAGTGAGGGACATTTTAATTATACTATTTTAGTATTTGGCAAGAGGAGTAAATTAAGTGAATCACAATACTACACCTTTCTTTGTTTTTGGAGATTTTGTAGGAATCTGCTGTTGTTCAGAGCTTTTATCAGTGCCTCTCTCAGCAGCTGAAGTGTTACTTTCTGAATCAGACTTTTGTGCCACGGCTTCTCTGCAATTTTTTTCTGACCCCATACTAGGGAACAGCAAGAGGAGCAATTTTTTTTAGCAGGTTTTAAAATTGGCAAAGATAACCAACAGTTAACACAATTAAAGGGCCAAGACATCTTGGAGAAAAAGGTTAAGTGGGGAAATAACAAGTTTTCAAAAATTTGAAAATCTGTCAAAGAGGGAGAACGTATATACTCCCTTGCTGTAGAGGGCAAGACATGAAGCAATGGCTTTAATGTGCAGCAGCGTCTATTTATTGGATGTCAGGAAAAACTTCCTGTTGTTAGAAGAGTGAGGCAATGGAACAGACTGCCCAGAGGAGTCCTGGAACCTCCTTCACTGGAGGTTTTCCAGAGGAGGCTGGATAAGCATTGCTGAGGGATGATTCAGGAAAAGCATTCCTGCACTGAGACATGGGGCTGGATCAGATTACCCTCAAGGTCCCTTCCAACCCACAATCATATGATCTTCATGTTCCATGAAATCTAGATCAACTGCTTTCTGAGAGGAGGGGCTTTTCTAAACCCAAAAGAAAGTGTGTATTTCATAGTATATATTAAGACACCACATTATCTTGGAATCCTGTACTTCTAAGGCATGGGATTATAGTCTGGGACTTCCTTTACCATTCCTTTGTCAAATGTGGACTTGGGGGATAGTGATTTTTAGAGGATTGTGGAGAGTGCTCTTATTACATGCTAGATGTCCATTCAGTTCATACATTTCCTTAGACTAAATATCAGAGTGCTTTCCACATAAAATGGCAATGGCAGTTCTTAATCGTTTAGGAAGTCATCAACAGGAAGCTGAATGACAAGAAGAGAAGATTCTTACACTAGAGAGCTCCAGGTGAAACTAGGTGTCAAAAATGCGTTTGCCCTGGAAGGAGTCATGGGTGTAACTTTGTAAGCTGTTAAGCCATCCAATGGCTGAAATACGAAGTTCTGAGGAGCAAAAGAGCGCATTCGCTGCCTCGCTGGAGCAGGACCATTTGTCACTGGTAAGTTATTTTCCTGTATGGTCTTTTCCTCAAGAAGTTCTAGTGATGTTGAATTTTTGGAGTCAATAACCAAGTCTTCAGTTATTGGGTGCAGAGTATTTTCTTCCCCTTCATGTTTAGAAGGTAGGGTCTGTAATAGCACAAGACAAAGCAAACATTTAAATAAGATGTGAAGCACAAGGAGCTGATCTGTACATTACAGTATGTCACCTGGTTCCTGCAACATTCACTGTTTGCATATGCTAGAGTAGTATAATAGCAGAGGTGTTAGAAAATTGCAAGGAGGCAACAACAACTCCTCCAAATCAGCCTCCTGGTGAATATGACAGGACTTAAGAGACTGGCTAAACTATGAGATAGGAAAATATGACATCCAGGATGCATAAACTACAGAGATGCAAAGGGTGCAAAGTTGCACGAATTGTTTTGCCACAGCTGGAAGCCAAAAGATCAAAATGACACTAGTAATTAAAGTCACTCTAACAAAGGGAAAGCTGCAGTCGGGGATCTGGGCATGAGGAACAAAAGAGTTTGAAGCAGCAAAAGTTGCCTGGCCCATTTGCAAAGGGTGGCAGGAGTTCAGGTGACGTAAGCATGCATTTAGACTATTTATTCTGTTGTTAAATCCCTTTCATCTCATATAATGTGTCCCCCTCCACCCATGGTTTGAGTGCTGGAAGCTGCAGAGAAGCAGGGGTAGAAAACTCTGGGCATGTCCGAATCACCTTTCCCCTTCCAAGCAACTCCTTACTCTCTCCTGCCCATCAGGGTCTTTCCTCACCCACTGGGAAAATCCTAGGGAAACTTTGAGCACCTAGGGAAACCAAGCCCTAGACACTGAAGCATGCAGGGGTTGGTACTCACTGCCACCCCTTGCTGGAAATCTGATAGCATTGCAATGCCTAAAAGGGGATGGGTATACTTTGAACCCTTTGCAGTGTATATGCAGATACCTCTGAACCAGGAAAATTGTGAACTGTTCCCAATCAGCGACCTACTTGGAACAGTTCAAGTGTGATCTGTGCCCACACCCTTAAACTGCATTCCATTTTACTTTAGCTTTAAAGTACTATATTGTAGGCATTAGTCTTAAGGATGTATTCTACCCAAGGGATAGAACTTGTAGTTTGAAACATCCATGAAACTAGGAAATTAAGATAGTGATAGAATTTCTATCCACAAATTAAAACTAGGTTTAAGTTTAAATTCAAGCCTCAAGGTTCACTATTATTGAATGTTCTTGCTTTGAGCCCAAGACTTGCATTCCTTCCTTAACAGGCTGGTTACACCTAGATAGTGGTGGGATAAAGAGGTTAGCTTGATTTCATGCAACACACTGCTATAATCAAAACACAGACAAGTTATTACCCCAATGAAGACCTCAATCTTAAGTTACAGCAGTGAGATAATGAGTCTGTGTAGTACCATGGCTGGTGCTAGTTTTAGTCCCCAGATGTCAGCAGATTAAATGCTGGCCCAGAAAGTCGCCTGATATTTTTGGTGGTTCTCAATCTTAAAATTAAATTTTGCAACTATGAAAATACTGTTCTATTTTCTAAGCACAAAACATCTGTTCAGACACTTATGCATGCAAAGTGATGCAACACTTATGCGAGTCTTCAGTGAGGAATGGATTATGCTAAATTCAAAAGTGCTAGTTTTGAAACAGTATATTGTGAACGCAATTCTTGAACTTCCTATTCAAGAAATGAGCCCCAGGGCATTACAAATGTCAATACTGAATATTGCCTGCATCTAGTACTTAAGGTTTAGTTTGAAATCAGAGTCCTTAATATTCACAGTGTAAAATAATCAAATCTGAAAACTTAAGGAAAACCAAAGGTGTCAAAGATCCAACCTGCAAAGCCCTGTTATCTGGCCCCTGGTGCTGTCCAAAATGCCACTGCACAAGGCCAGCCCCATGCACAAGGCCAGACATTTGCACCGCACACTGCAACCGCTCCAGCAGGTCTAGGACCCATGATGCACATGGTGCCCACTTTGGGATTCATACCACTTGCAGCACCAGCCCCAGCGAGTCTGGAACACACTGCACACAGTACCTGTTCCAGGATAAAAATCACAAGGTCCTAGGAAAGGGCACCGGTCATAGACTGGCTATGGGGTGGGTGGTTG